ATTATTTTAGAAGAGGTAGCCATATTAATGTTATTTATAGAAGAAATTATTAAAAAAGTAAGCTGAATAAAGTTTGAGAATTAGAAAAAGTTGAGAAGAGAAAGAGAGAGTCTTCAAGTGAAAATAGAATATTAATTTTATAATATTTGATAATATATTTTTTTGCTTTATGATAGTAGTTAAGTTTATAGTTTTGTTGGATTTGTAAAATAAAAAATTTTAGTTGTTTTTAAATATTGTGATTAAGGATTATTCATGCTAAGATATGTGGATTAATAGATGGAGTAATAGTTTTCTTTAGAGCTTTATCAAGGTCAAGATTTGAGATTTTGTTATTTTCAGCTATAGTATTGAGATAGGCTTTGAAGTATGCGTAAAGGTAGTATACTATTTGTTTAGTTGTTATAGATATATTGTTTATTTCTGCAAATTTTTGATCTGCTTTAAGGACTAGTTTATTTAATATATAGATTGGAATTGATTTTTAAAATATTGCAGAATATTGTTGATTAGATAAAAAGATGAAAAAGTTAGGATCAAAGGAAGTTGTTCTAGGAGTATCTTCTTTAAATAGTACAGAGAAGAATTTGAAAGAGTTATTGAAGAAAAGTGTGAAAAGGTTTTAAAAATTGTGTTTTGTATCTTTAAGGAGTATTGAGCAGTCTTTGTCTTTGCAAGTATGAATATGATGAAGAGCTTTTTTCATTGTTTGAAAAAAGTGTTCTTAGATAGATGTAGGCTTTGTAATTTAAAAATCAAAGAGTAGTAATTTTTTGCATTCTTTAGCTTGTATAGTTGCAATTTGGTATTTGAGATAGTTTCTTACTTTTTTCTTATCAATTTCTTTGAATTGTTTTTGGTAGGCTTTAAAGAAGTTATCAAACCAGGAGTTGAAGTTATTATTATGTAGTTTGAGTAAGAAAATTTGAAAAGAATTTGTAAATTTAATTTTAAGAATATTGAGTATAACAGTAACTGTAAAATGATTATTATTGTAGATAGTAAAGAGAGGTTTTTTTGAGTTATTATATTCAAAATTATATTGAAGTAAGAGATAAAGTGGATTAATATCAAGTTTTTTTGATAATATATTGTATGATATTTTTATAAAGAAATAGATAAATATGAGCAAAGTTAATTGCTACTTTGCAGCGATCTGCAGCAGAGTAAAAAAGAATAGAATAGTGAGATCTGAAGATATAAAGGCAGTTAAGTTTAGTAAAGAGAAGTTCTATAAATTTGATAAGTAGATTTTTAAGAGTGGAAGTATATGTATATTGAAGAATAATCAGTTTAGAAGCTAGTTTTGGGTTTGATTCTTGAAGAAATTGGATAAGAAATTTTGTTTTTCTAAAGCTATAAATTTAAATAAGATATTAAAGCTTTATTTTTGGAAAGGCTTAGAAGATTTATTTTTGTTAGAAGTCAAAACAGGTTGGCCTGGAGTAAAATTATAAAGATGAGTTTTGGTAAATTTAAAGAGTTGTTGTGCAAGTCAAGTATTAAGTTTGGTGTTTTATTTTATTTCTTGGGTAATTGGGTAGTTTGCAAACTGATCCAAGTCTTGAGAAGTATTTCTAGCTTTGGGTTTATTTGTTTGTTTGCATGGGCTTTGTTTTATTTTCTTAGCTCTATTAGCAATTTTTTGAAAAAAATTAATTTATTATCTTTGATAAGTTGATAAAAATAGTAAAAGTAAAAGAAAGAACATTGCTCATGTATAAGAGGTTTAGTAAGAGGGGTAGGCTTGGGTTTGGTATATTAAAGATTATAAACACAATCTTGATAAATTATAAGGCCTTTAAAGATCATAGCTTGGGAGTAGTCAAGTGTATAGTTTGCTTTTATAAAAATACAAAGAATATTTTTAAATTCTACACGTATAATAATATTGAGAGTTAGGATTGATTGCAGTTGATTTAGAGTTTGTATAAAGAGTAAAAAGAGAATTTTGAGAAGTTAATTAAAATTCTTGTTATTGTTTTGAGATAGGCAATTTGGGTAGAAGTTCTATAATTGCTTCAAATTGTTTTTTTGAAATAATTGTATTTAGAAAGATATCTATTGCTGTAGAGCTAGCAGATTGTCTATATGGTGTAGTATAAGGAATTTGGTAGTGTTTAGAGATAAAATTTGTATGAAATTTGTTACATAAACAAGTAGATAAGGCTAGTTGTTGGCATTTTAAAATAATAGTGCAATTTGTTAAGTTTACAATTAAGAAGATTAGTATCTTTAGATAGTATATGTAAGGTGAGTGAGTTAGTTTTTTTTGTTCTAATACCAAAACAGTCTAGGTATTTGTTATAAAAATAGTCAAGATCATAAAAATTAGAATTCTGCGTAGTTAAGGTAGTGTTATGGGCGGGATAACTGCGACTCGGTCGCTCCACTATCCAAAAACTCGCGTAACCGACGGTAAGTAACCTTACGAAAGAGGCGTGTTAGATTTGGCTGGTGGGTGATTAAGGCTTCAGTTACTTGAGGTCAACGAAAGAGGGTCGGTTAAGTCACGTGATAAAGGGTTCAGCAACAACGATGTTTATGACGGTTATATAGGGTTTATCAGGGTATAGTGTTAGTGTATTATTTATTGGGCGATTGTATAATAATTGGGACTTATTATTTAATAAAGCAACGAGCGAATACTGCTCTTGAGGGCCAATTCGGCCTTTATTTATAAGATGAAATTTAGTCGCTCACAAATGCGACTTTACAACTAATATTTAATAAAACTATATAAAACTAATTATATTTATTTTCTGTAATGTTTTTAAGAATGTTTAATTTCTACTGATATCCTCCCTTTATCCTCCCATATACCCCTCTAGATCTAATATGCCATTCCCGATTCAAAATGTAATTAATTGCACTTCGTGCATTTTTCACGTGACTGATTACCGGGTCCCCGTGTTACATTCTGGGACTCACATTTCCCTCCTTCTTAAGTCATGCGTCCCACGCATAATTGTCATCCGTGAGCTGTTAAAGATCGTGTAGCTTCAACTTGCGTAGGTCGTTGAGCTCCAACTTGGTCGTTTGATAGATTTGCTCGATCCCATACTTCAAGAATACATCATAGGCACGGACAGCGACAGTGTAGTAGTGCCTTTTAATCATATCTCTAAACTGGCTTTGTTGCTGGCGGGTTCCGTTGGCATATAACATCCCTAAGTAGTATGCGTACACTAACGAATTTATACGTTGCCTCAACCTCAGGCTTCTCTGAAGGTGATTCATCGTTAGGTTTATATTTCTGGGGTAGTCGTTGGTCGTCGAAAAGGGCGGGGGTGCGGGGTTAACATCGATCGGGAGTAGATTCGTGACATCGGCCATGATCTCATTCAATGTGATCGGATTTCGGGGCATTTGTTTGTATATAAGCGTAATTTTTATTAATCTGTAAACTTTTACTCTCTTTCTCCCGTATTTTTGTATCCTTTTTATCTCTTTTTCGTCCTTGACTTTAGATTGATTTTAGAAACCCTTTCACTCTTTTTGGTATTTCGTCTCGATCTTCTAGATCCCTTTTGGATATATATATATATATATATATATATATATATTTTTTTTTTTTTTTTTTATTAATTGCGTCAATCGTAGTATTCCTTCATTAGTGCAACGTTGAACGGTATTGCCAAGACCTTTCCTTCTAGGGTCCGTAATTTATATACATCCGGCTTTAGCACTTGGTGTATGTAGAAGGGGCCATCCCATTTTGGCTCTAATTTCACGCTTCGATTATACTTTTTTGACGCACGATATAATAGAACTTTGTCGCCGATGGACAAATCGGGTGGGAAACGGGCATTACGGTCGTACCGTTCCTTTTGTTTTTCTTGAGCCCTTTGGATTTCTAGCACAGCCTCATGGCGTGTTATCGGTAGGTCTTCCAACAATTGGAATGTTCTTTGTATTATAGTTCCTTCTAACAATTCGTCTGTCTCTATTGGTAGGCGAGCTTCTCTTCCATACATCAGGTAGAATGGCGTGATCCTTGTGGTCGCATGTTTGGAGGTACGGTATGCAAATAATACTGCAGGTACGACAAGGTCCCAGTCACTAACGTTATCTATTGACCTTGCAATAGATTCGCACAAGGTCTTATTGTATCGTTCCACCAACCCGTTGGTCTGGGGGTGGTATGGCGTCGATAGTAGGTGTTTGATCTTGAATTTCTCTAGCAACCTATCGACCAGTTGATTCCTAAAATAGGTGCCACGATCCGACAATAGCTTGATGGGGCATCCATGCCGACATATGATATCCTCGAATACGAAATCAGCCACACTTTGTGCGTCAGCTGTCGAAATCGCCCTTGCTTCCAGCCACTTGGTCATATAGTCAGTTGCGACGACTATATATCGCGAATTTCGTGGCGTAATCGGGAGTGGTCCTATGATGTCTATCCCTACTTTGTAGAAAGGCGCCGTTACAGGTATAGGTTGTAAAGGTCCTGCATATTTATTTTTTCCCCTCTTTTGGCAGTTTTCGCATGACTGGACGTATCTTCTAATATATTCGAACGATTGCGACCAATAGTACGTTCTACGAATCTTCTCGAACATCGTCTTAGCCCCGAAATGCCCTCCAAGTGGGTGATCGTGCGTCAATAATAGGATGGGGTCGATTTCATGCTTCTGGACTACTCTCAGAGGTTGGTCTTGACTTTTCTTATTTCTCTTATATATTAAACCATTTTTTAACAAAAACGTTCTACTATTATTAATTAGTTGCTTCTTTTGCCTCTTATCTAGATCGTTGTCGACGTATCCGTCTTGCAAGTATCTTCTTAATCGCTCGTAGTCTTCTACTTCCATTTCGGATTTCTTCTGCCAGGACACCGACTACCTGGGCTGGATTAGATTTATCGTCAGATTTGGGGTGTTTTCTTTTTCTTTTTGTTCTCTCTTTTTTTTTTTTTTTTTTTTTTTTTTTTAAAATCTTCATTTATTTTTCTAATTGTCGCTTCCTTTTCTCATCGCTCCAAGATTAAGTACTCTTCGGTCCTCCCGCCGATTGGTGTTTTGCTCTTCTTCAATCGCTCGTACGTTTAATGGCTCGGCGTATCCCAGATCGATTCTGGTGTCGCGTAAGTATTCCCTTCTAATCAATTCTTGGTTTGCACCGGAAATTACCCAATCCCTTAACACTAATAACTGTTCGGGTTCTGATGCTATTAGGTTGAATCCTTGAAATTCGATCGTATAGATGGCCCTTCTTCGATCCAAGATTTCTATCGCAAGGTGTTCGAAATGGGTTGGATGGTAATACGTTTCGTATGTGTTGCCATACGATTTACTTGGTCCCGTGTATTCCAAGTTACTCCTATACTTAGTCCCCAACTTGGTAAACGACAATAGGGCGATCGGTTGGGCTCTTGGATCGAATACTTCTTCGAACTTGGGTAAGTTTAGTTGTATTTCGCTTGTTTGTTTTTCGGCGTTTTCCGTTATTAACTCCTCTTTTCCACCTTCTTCTATTGCCATATATACTTCTGCCACTTCCTCTTCCGCTCCATTCAATCGGGACAATGCATCCGCGTTCCAATGGGTACGTCCCGACCTATGCTGGATCGTATAATTATAGGGCTGCAAACGAAGTATCCAACGGGCCCTCTTTCCCTTTAACTTCGTACTATGCAGCCACTTGAGTGCGGAGTGGTCAGTTATAATAACAAACGGCTTAAAGCCGAAATAATGGTGGTAGTATTCTACCGCCCAAATAACCGCCAGGCATTCCAACTCACACGCTGAATAGTTTCGTTCGGCTTTAGATAGGCTGCGGCTAGTGTACGATATCACGTGCTCCTTTCTGTCAATACCTTTTTGGGCTAGAATGGCTCCCAATCCCGTCCCGGACGCATCAGTATACAAGTAAAACGTATCATTAAAGTCGGGATACTTAAGAACGGGCACCGTAATTAGGTAGGTTTTTAGTGTTTCGAATGCCTGTTGCTGTTCTGGCCCCCATTTGAAACTAACGTTCTTCTGTAACAGGCAGTGTAAAGGCCTTGCTATAGTGGCAAACCCGGGGATAAACCTTCGATAATACGATGCAAGACCAATAAATCCCCTCAACTGCCGCAGGGTATTGGGCACGGGGTAGTTTTTAACCTTTTCTATCTTACCCTCGTCAGGTTGTATCCCTTGCCGTCCGACGATATGACCCAAAAAATGAATGGTAGGTTTGAAGAATTCGCACTTTTCTATATTAATTTTCAACCCTGCTTCCGCTAGCTTATCGAAAACCTTTTTTAAGTGCTCCAGGTGTTCGTCAAAAGTTCGTGAATAGATGTTAATATCGTCAAGGTAGACGGCCACGAACTTGCCGATATACTCCTCTAAGATACAATCCATCAGCCGTTGGAAGGTGGCAGGTGCGTTCGAAAGACCAAACGGCATGACGTTAAACTCGTAAAGACCACCTCGCGTTACAAAGGCCGTTTTCTCTCTGTCTTCTTCCTTGACCTTCACTTGCCAGTATCCGCTCTTCAAATCTAAGCTAGAAAACCAATTCGCGGCGCTAAAGGTTTCTAGTAGGTCGTCTATACGAGGTAGTGGGTAAGAGTCTTTCCTTGTTACCTCGTTCAGTTTTCTATAATCCACGCATAGTCGTAGCTTCCCGCCCTTCTTTGGGACTACGACTACGGGCGAAGCCCACGGGCTACTCGACCTTCTAATCAAACCTCTTTCTTCCATCTCTTTTAGTTCCTTCTCGATGAACTCGTGCTCACTCGGTGACGCCCTATACGCCTTCTGCTTTATCGGTCTGGCTTCACCGGTCTCGATACGATGAGTTATCACGTTCGTCTCCCCAAGTTCTTGAATACCGCTTGCGAACAAGTTCCTCTCTTGTCTAAAGAACGTCGTTGCCTTTTCCTTATCTTCTTTATCCAGGTTGTCGTTCTGAAGGAACTGCTCTATCTGTTTTTCTACCGTAAGTTCGGTTTCGTCGTCTTCCTTTGTTGGCATTTCTTCTATATTTGTCAAATACAAAGCCGGGCTTGTTACTTCTTCCCAGGGGTTATAGAACAACTCATTGTCTTCCTCAATGTTTTCCTCTGTATAATAACCCTCTGCTTCAACTAGTTCTTCATCCTCATAGGTGTATTCATCGAATTCGTCTCCACTATCGCTTCCGGGCTGGTCTCTTTCTTCTGGGATTTCTAACTTTTTCGTCCCATTATTGGATATAGGTACCTCGATTCGTCTACCGTCGTGCTTGAGGAACAAACGTTGCTCGTCGAAGTGAATTTGCGCTTGCGCCCTTTGGAACCAATCGTTTCCTAGTAGGAGGGTTTCGTTGGTAGATTCAATGACCTGGAAGGTACTAGGTAAGAGAGTGTCTTGAATGGCTACTTTTACGTTTTCTATTTGTCCTAGGGCTCGCGTTCTTGTCCCGGTTGCCGTGATTACGACCATAGCTGATGGCTTATCTATTTTCAACTTCAACTTCTCCATTAGTTTCTTCGTCATTATGCTCACTGCCGCGCCCGAATCCAATACGGCTCGAATGGGGTTGCCTCTAATTCTAACGTAGCAATGGGCGGCTGTGTTCTATGGGCGTCACTAAAATTTACCACCTGGGGTTCTTGAACTTCTTGGGGTATTCTAATTTCTTTGGGTTCTTGGGCCACCAGGGGTCGACGTAATACTTGAGCTAAGTTGCTTCTTTGGTTCGGGTATTGGAGCAGTTGGCCGTACGTGGCGTTCGCCCTCGAGTTCAACAAATCCTCCGCGATGTTATAGGGGACGAGCTTATCTATTACGGACGTTCCCCTTTTTCTTTTTGGCTTCTTGATCGGTCTTGACTCGTCCAACCTCATGGGTTCTACATGGTCTTCCACATTTGCTTGCAGTGGTTCATTTTCGGGTCGGGTCCGGAGTCTATTATCCCACTTTGATTCCGGCTGTAACCTAGGTCTTTTTTCAGGGGTATCAGGTTGTACTTGCTGCTTTCTTTTATCCACTACGTATAATTCATTTTCTTCGTACTCGCAGTAGTTCACTCTTCTAACGTTATCGGTCGGACGTCTTTCCTCTTCCTTAGGTTCTTGATACTTCTTTTCCGACATACAATGCCTCGCGATATGTCCCTTCTCGCCGCACCGGTAACAAACGATTTCTCTCCGGGGTCTGGGATTCTCCCTATACTTTTCGCATGGATCCTTTTCCTGTTGATTGGTTGCGGCAACGTAATTGACCGATAGTTGCTGCACTTGCTTAACTAACGCCTCAATTAACTCATCCTTTTTGTCAGGAGTTACTGAAGCTTCGGGTAGGTGAGCGCCGTAATATTCGCCGGCTTCAACATTCCTCGCTGCGGCAATGGCTTCGTTAAGGCTATTCGGGGACGTTACCGCTACGAAGGTGGCTGTTTTTCCCTTCAGCCCACTTAGAAACATTCTCACGGTATATTGGGCAGGTAACGACTCATCTGGATCCACTCGACTTAGAAGCTTCTTAAATTTGGTCGCGTAGGCGTCGACTTTCTCATTTTCTCGTTGGGCAAGGTTATTCAACTCCATTTGCCACTTGTGCTGTTTCTCCGGGGTTGCAAAGAAGGAAACTAACAAATGGTAGAAACTCCCGTCTTGCTCATCATCGTTCTTCCACTCGTCTATACTGGCTTTATTATCCTTGTACCATTCTGCCGCCAATCCTTTTAGGTATCCTGACGCTATTTTAAGCTTTCTTTCGTTCGTCCAATTGTTCGCTTCTGCAGCTCGTTCAAAATCGTCAAACCACTCGATTGGGTCTTCGTCGTCACTTCCACTAAAACTTCTAACCTTCACGTGGTTTGTTTCCTTCAACCCGGACCCATTCCCTTTAACGATATCCTTGGCTGCGTCTTCGAAGGACTTGGTCATACTCTCAATTAACTCCTTAAGCTGGGCGGCATTCATAATGGCAGGACTAAACTGGGCCAGAATTCTTTCCAGTGTGTTTCTACTGATAAACTTCTATTCAACTTGGGCCGGCATATATTAGAACCTATTGTGAGTCCCAGAATGTAACACGGGGACCCGGTAATCGGTCACGTGAAAAATGCACGAAGTGCAATTAATTACA